AACAAATACAATTCATTTTTTAAAATGTTTTTGCTATATAATGGGAACCGAAATATGGCCTATCAATGTTCAGCGGTTTTCTTCAAATGCCAAATTTGAAAGATTCAAAGTCAAATATCGGGAAATGATGCATTTTTGGAAGAAAACTCACAAAACCTTTTTTAAAGATCATAAATAGACCTGTCATAAAAAAAGACTCTAGCTTAAAAATTGGGTGAGTTTTGATGAAAATAAGGTCAATACCTCATTTTTTACGAAAAAATCGATGAAAACAACCCCCTAACCACGCCCATAATTAAAATCTATCTTCACCCCTCTGCAATTTCTTTGTACATGTATTGTTAATACGTCCAAGAAGTTTAACCCATTTAAAATGCTTAGTTTTAGAAAAAGTACAGCTTAAAACGAGAAACGATTTACAATTTCATATTTTTTACCCTTCTTGTTTTAAATATGCCCGAAAATACTGAATATATCAAAAGAATAAAAATTACCAAATTGTAGCTTTTTTAATGACTAAAATTATCCTTTATTTAGATTTGTTGTACAATGAATATTTGGCGAGATATAGCCGTTTAAAGCATCGATTTACGATCAAGCACCATCTTTTTCGAGCCCTTTAAACTCACCCCATTTAAAAACCAAGGGTTCCAAAAAGATTTAATTTACACATCCTGGCAGCTCTTAAAAACCTCTACAAATCGTTTTTGAAGAAACACTCTATCGTTAAAAATTAAAAGAAATACGTTAAAAAAACCAGTTAATTTTTTTCCGGAAAATTCCATTAGTATAGTACAGTACATTTCGGAGCATAATAATCTACAAAAACGGTTTATTAGGTAGTGGGGCGTTATACTTTCGAAATTTTAAGCGTTCTTATTTTGAAATCCCATACAACAGAATAAAACATTTGCTCATATGTTTATGGCTTGGCAATGACAATATCAGAGCAACAGACTGGGAATGGTATTCCAAAGATGGTTTGTTATTACCCGTACGCATGAACAAACAACCTGCACTCAATGAACTTTTAAAAATTATTTTTTGCTAATGCAAAAAAGGATGCGGCGTTTCATGTGGGTGCAGAAAAGTTGGTTTATACTGTAACTCTACTTGTTCTGGGTGCTCAGGTGAAGGGTGCAATAACAGTCCACCAATAATTGAAGAAGATGAGGATGACATAGATCACGATGAAGATGTAATTGATGACGAATAAAATTAATATTATAATTGTTTTACCTATAAATGTAAATATTTTCAACTATTTATGTAAATGTATAAGAATATATGGTGCCTTTTTATGTTGATAATTTTTTTTGTATTTAATTCTACTTTTTTCAATTTATATCTTATAAATTAGTTTATAAAAACTGCGATGTTGTAAAGGGTGATTTTCAAAAGTTAAAAAGTTGCAAAATTTTGGCAAAAAATTGTTTTTACCTATAGCATTCATAACAATTGATTTTTAAGGATTGAAAATGTATGAATTTGTATTTTAAAGTATAAAAAAAATCACTATTTAACTAATCCAAACCAAATTTCACTCATCTTAAGATTTGTAATATTATTTTACAAGTTTTGAAAATTGGGGGTAGTTTTCACCCCTAAGAGTAATCAGGGTTCATCGGCATGACATAAACTATAAAGCAGAGAGTGAGTTGAGCTTAATTCCAAATTTTTATGCAAATCGTTCCAAGGTGAAATCATTTTCTTCGCATTACTAATTTTTTTATATTAATCTCTAATAAGGGTCGCTTTTTAAGGGTTGAAATATGATGGAACTTTATTCAAAAGCACGAAACTATCATTATTTAATTAATTCAAACCAAATTTTACCCATATTCAGGTTTAATATGTTATTTTATAATTTTTGACAATTAGGGGTAGTTTTCACCCCTAACAACAATCAGGGTTCGTCGACATTTGCCATTTTCAATAAGCATTAAATAAATAAATATTAGATAATACACATTTTTTATAGTTTACCATGGAATGCAAAAGTGGTATTTGACCCTAAATACATAGGGCATATGCGAAGTACTTCAGCTTTTCCTTGTTGATGCTTTTTATAATCTTAGTAGTTTTGCCGAGTCATGCCTATTGTGGCGTTTCGAAAATCTGCTCCATTAAAGGAACTTTTAAAATTCTTGTATAGCACCACATTTCGAAAGCTCAAGCCTTAAGGTACATATATATTGGAAAGATATTTAATGTCAGTCTAATTGTTGATAAATTGTTTTATATGAATCATCCCCAATATGCATTTTTGTAGTTTTGTCCTGTTTTCAAAACCTGCAAGTTTTCAAAATCTAAAGAATGGCTATTTTATAGAAATGATTTGCTAAGGTTGTAGTGTTTAATTTGTTAGTTTGTAGGCTATGCTTGTGTTCAACAACCCTTTTATGTAGGTATTGGTGTTGGTCAAATATATGTTGAACTGCAGTCGTTACAATGTATTTTATAAACAGCTTGTTTTTGAAGATTTATGTTCAACATGGATCACATATTTTGCCAAAATCTTCGTCATTTGTTTAGAGAGTCCAATAATATATGTAATAATAGTGTTTGTTTAATTTAGTGAAAATATTAATATTATTTCTAGTATAAGTAATAGGTGCGTTGGTATTAAAATTTAGATAGGTATCTAAATCCCGGACCGGAAAAAATCTCTTTTATAACCAGTTAGTTGTTATCTTTCGGTTATTGTTGTTATACTCTAAACTTAAATCAAGAAGAGTAATTTTTTTGGTTTTTGTTAGTTTATAAGTATATTAAACGTTATGGAAGTTATTGAACATTTGACGAGTATAATCAATTTCATAATATTGTTCTGAAGCTATTTTCTTGTGACATTTTAAATTAATTACTATTTAACTGGGAATAAGCCACAATTAAAGACAAAAATACGTTTATTGACGTTTCAATTTTCACTTCGGAAATCGTTCTCAAAATACAAACAGTAAATTATTTATAATTAATAATTATTAATTATGTTATAATAATTAATAATTATTAAAACATAATTTACTGTTTGAATTTTGAGAACGATTTCCGAAGTTGGAATTGAAACGTCAATAAACGTATTTTTATCTTTAATTGTGGCTTATTCCCAGTTAAATAGTAATTAAAAGATTTAATGATCTACAATACACATTAAGCAGTCGTTGACATATCGTTTGTAGAAGTTTATATTGAACTTTAATTTAGGGACAACATTTATCTCTAAATTGAAGTACAACATACATTTCTACAAACGATGTGTCAATGACTGCTTACTTTGCATTCTGGATCATGAAGCCGATTATACTTTATATAATCACTTAGTACTTTTACTACCTCGTGGTATAGGGTAGATTAGAATTTATATTGTTTTACAACTGAGTTTGTTTTTTATAGTTCATGTACATGTTTTCTCATTTGTTCCTATTATGTGCCAGATTTCTTACACTGGCCCATGTTGCGTCTCTCGCTTTTTCTGTCTTGCTTTCTTTTTTTTTTATTTTCTTGTTTTACTGACAGGTAGCTCTTTCGAGACGACAGATCCAGTAAAACATAGGTTAAAATAAAAATAAATCTATTACTAACGTATGTACAAAAATAAAAAAATATTCTATATCCCCGCCTGGATCCCGCGATAGTGAATTCCCCGGAGGACGCCGGTAAAAGAAAAATTATTATTACTAACAGAAAATAAAATAAGCGAATTCGATCGCACGCAGACTTATCTCGCTTCCACCTCAGTCCAGCGGAAGCGCCAAACGCTATCGAAATCAAAATATTCGATTGTGCAGATACACGTTATACTCTGAGTCAGAGTTGACGGTAACGTTTAATCCACTATAATCACGGGTTCTGCTTGATTAAGAATAGAACATATTCTTCACTACGGAAGTCTCTCTGTCCGGTTTGGTTCGCAGATTCAATGCACTAGCGAGCAAGAAAGCCTGAGCATTAGCCACAAGACCCTCCTAACTCCGCCAGCGGCTCGCTTTAAATAGAATCCCCCTCGTCGTCTCGTCGTGGAAATGGATGCGTGATTATCGACACTTCCATGGTTCGAACTGTTGAACGCCGTTGCTGTAGGACGTTCAGCACATCTTTACAAGTCATTTATTTTTGTCAATGTCTTTGCAGATTGTTGGTCTGTGAGTAATAGCCAACATTCGGTTGGATATAGACTTAAAGACATTTATTTTGAATTGTTTTAATTTTTTTTTATTTAGAAATGAAATATTTTATCTGTTGCATGAATAATCTTCTGCATGAAGTGCCTAATCTATTTATTTCTACTTTGTTTTTTATAAGTCTACTCCTAAATTTATATTAAAATGTTCTAAATTAAAAACTATTTAATTGCCACAGGTTTGTTTCATGGAGATTTATATTTACTTCCTGTCTTTTTTCACTTATTATCATTACTTTTATTTTATTTTTGTGAGAAAGCCTTATCTCATATTCTTCAGGTCGAATACCAGATCTCTGGATTCTTTTGCAGTTGTTTTTCACTTTAAGTTATGATTATTTTGTCATCTGCAAATGCTTCTTCTGTGAATTCTGTTTTTTTTAATGTCCATATTCGAATAGTTTTTTCTTTTGTTTTGAACAATGTTTTATTACTGCCTCCATAAATATTTTAAATATCGCAGTGCTTAAATCGTCACTTTGTAAATCCGTTTTAAGTCCTCAATGATTTTGACACTCTCTTCGTATGTACAACACAATATTTGTTCGAGTAGTATTATTACTTTAGTGAAGCAGTTTTTAACCTTAGAGCTTTTAAATATTCCTACATCAGGAATATATTAAATTAGTTTGAATTTTAATTAATTTATTTTTTAAATATTTCTTAACGCACGTACATAAACATAGAAATACATTTATTACAATAAATTTGACTTTTGTGTTATTTTAAAATATTGTATCGTTAAATATTCGCTTCAATATCTGCTTTCCAATTTCTTATTAAAATGATTTCCAATTTCTTATTAAAATTTTTACAGAGTTTGAGTCCGGGAGCAATAAAACCAGAACTTAAACCAGGAGAGGTAAGCACTCTTGCACCTAGCGACGTTACAGATGCTATAATATATGTATTATCAGCACCACAAAGCGTAAATGTAAGTCAGCATATTTTTTTTTTTTACTTTGACTACTACATTATTGATATTTTTTTTTAATTTAGAATTAGGTTGCTGGTGTTTAAGGTTACTTACAAGATGTTTTCTGTTTGTGTCAAATTATTCACCTGTAACTAATAAAAACAGCTCGTGTATCCAAAAACTAATACATATATCAATAGCTACAGTTTGGTAATGAAATTACGATGTACTGGTAGACGTTAGACTCAGAGACGTTCCACGTTAGACGTGGAATTAGTATCAATAGACTGGGTTTTGAGGCAGGGAAAACTACAGAAGGCACAACTATACCTATATATATATATATATATATATATATATATATATATATATATATATATATATATAAATATATATATATATATATATATTTATATATATATATATATATATATATATATATATATATATATATATATATATATAAAATATATACCTCTTCATATCAAGGCGAGATCCGATTAAATCGAAGACAACCCGAGATCCACCAATATGAAATTAATTAATGAAGTATATTGTTCATAACTATCCTTATAATTAACATATTAATCATGGCACACTTAGAGGGAAAAGATTTTTGAACTTAAATTTTTTTGATAAATTTACAACAAAATGAGATCCGTAGCTGAAAAGGAAAGGGGAAGACTTATATATGAAATTTTAGATATTTACAGATCAACGCGAGATCACACACTGTTGCCAGCTCTAACGAGTATTAGTCGAGTGACTGGAGCTTGTGTTATATTGCGTATATCCTGCTCAAACAGTAAAGTAATTTGCGGTGATGGTGTTTTGTATTTTAAAAATATCGCAAGGGCAACGGTCAGTTGAATTAGTGAAACAAAATTCAAAGATAACAGAAGCTAAGTAATGATTATAATTTATATATATATATATATATATATATATATATATATATATATATATATATATATATATATATAATTAAATGATTCAACATAAACTTTATAAACCGAAAAACTAAAATGCTCTTTTTTATTGAATTTGTGAAATCTATTCTCAAAGCTATTTTTGTTTATTATTTATGTACAAAATTAAAAAGGAGAAATTATTTAAACTAAACAGTTTATCTGTATAAGAAAAGCTATTATTTCAACATTTTCTTCGTGTTTTTATATAAAAGTATTAGTTTTGTACAAGAGTAAATACAATTCCATACTGTAGAGTTAATAGATTGGCAAAAGGCTTCTAGAATAGATTGTGGTGAGCACTTTGTTGCTAAAATGCAAAACCTATTTTTATTTGTTTCTAATATCTTTCTAATGCAAAAGCACTTGGTCGTCCAAAAATCGTAACGTGAGGGGAGTGTTGGGGAGCCTTACAAAAAAAGTGCTAATTTGTTTTTCGTCATTTTTCGGATCTACGATATCCGAAAATTTATTCCTCAAATTTGCATATCGATCCGGACATTAGAAATAGATTTATTTTATTTATAAAAGTACGTCAAACCATTGTTGTATACAGAGTGCCTTTATAGAAAATGACTTAGAATGACTCTGAAAACCCATATCTCTAAAATCGTTTCTCCTCGCTCTACCTCGAAAAATATTGGGTCTAGCAAAAAATGGCTTTTTATAAAAGTTATAAATCAAACATCAGAGAACATGTCGGTTTATTTAGAATGTCGATTGGATAAATAGTTTAAGAAAAAATTAAATAAATTGAACGGCATGTAACGACGCACAGTGGCAAATGCAGAGATGCGAGGAAGGGCGAGATTCATAATCTGAAGTCAACCGCAAATCGACTCTAGTGATGGCGATGTTGTAAGGGTCGATTTTACATTGAAATGCTGTTGTGTTGTATATTCTATTGCGAAAGTACATCATTGTGCACAATTTTTTACTAATAGCGCGAAATCCACTGAGCTGAGATTTTTATTATTAGAAGTTTTAAATTATTAAAAGTTATTAATTAACTTATTGCTATAATAAAAATATAAAATCTCACTCAATATTAAAGTAAATATTTTTTTATTCATCTAGAAATGGACTAAACGAACAGCAGCAGGTCTGACAGTGAACTTGAGTCAAAAATCAGATTACAGCATGTTTCTTTCCGTAAAGTCCATTTCCATTTCAGTTTGCTGAAAGAAGCAGAAACTGGAGAATACATTTTTGTTCTAGTTTTCGTAAAATGCACCCTTACTTCTTTACATTTGGCATTCTGAACTATGCTTTTTGGGGAAAATTATATTTGTTGGACATGTACAAACTTGCTGATAACGATCCAGAATTGCTTGAAGACTTTATGAGAGGAAATTTTGTTGTGAAAAGTTTGAACAGATACTTTAACCAACTATTTGTAGATCCAGCTTTAAACACATAAATAAAAAACTCAAAAAAAGCAGGAGGAATCGTGAGATTGATTAAAACCAGCACAAACTAGATGAATGGTTTTAAGCTACAATATGATTGGCATGATGGTAGAAGAATTTTGTGCATCATGAGACCCAAGCATCCACTCAAGTCAAAACGTAGAAAGTAAAAAAAAACGAATAAAAATTGATGAATATTTTGTATAAAAACTACATCAGTTTTTAAAAACATCTTTACTAAATATACAAAAAAAATGGAGACGAGAGCCTAGCAAAATTTCTTGTCAATGTTGGAACTTCCAATTTTTATCAGCATATAAAGAAGAATAATCTTCCAACACTTCGTCGCGCAGGTACCTATAAAACTGTCTCTGAAAAGAAGAAAATTATTCAAGCTGAGCAAGAGTTTTTACAAAAAATACTAGCAACGAAGGCAATTGAAAGAGACATAAATATTATAAGGATATTTGTAAATATGAAGTGACAGCATATACAATGTCACTTGTATATGCAGGAGTTCTGTCGATACCATCAAATAAATCTGCCTTAGGTTCTATAATAGAACAGTTTACAGTTATGTCTAAATATCTACTATTACCGTTATAAAATAGCAAAACGTGTCACATTTTTGATGGTATGAGTTTGATGCAAGCCGTTGGCAAACCCTCTAATGGCAAATCATTTGGCGATTATGCAAGAATTTTAAAATCAATAGTGTTCAAGAACCTCTTAGACAAAGGATTCAACCTAAAAGGATTGGTTTTGTATTTGACCAGTACAAACAATCTTTGTACTGGTCCGTATAAACATAAATTTCCTTCTACTTCAGACAGAATAATGTGTAAACTTCGTGTACATACTCATCCAAACGAAGATAGGGTATGTAGTGTAACACCAAAACTTTCTCTGCCGAATACGTAGCTAAGTGGCTAAAGTAAAGAAAATGGAGAGCGGGTACCAGTTTTAAGCACGGAATCCAAGTTTAAGAAACATACATACATATACTATACTTCTAATAGGTGTGAAAGTTGAGTCTATTTTTACCTTTTTGTGACGAATAATTATTATATTTGTTTTTTTCTAATTGCCAGACTGTACAGGGGCTCCATTGCTCGTGTAAAAGAAAACATATCAAATGTATTGGTTCTTGTAAATATATGGCCCAAGTGAAATGTTACAAAAAAGGTGATATACGTGAAACAATATTAACCATATAGGGTGCTACTTCTTTTTACAGTAATGAAGAGTCTAACTTAGAGTAAGATAACTAACAGAAGATACTAATCCAGAAATAGTTACATAGATTTAATTATTTTTATTACTACCCTTTGTTCTTGAACGCGAAATTTGCTGCCAGGGAAAAACCTTTGCAATTTTAGATGTGTTCTATATCCCAAGCTTTTGAACTTTAACCACGTTACGACGTCCTTAATAAGCTTAATATAATACTAGATAATAATGTAAGAAAAGTTTTGGCACAACCCCGACGTACCAAGTCATCTAGGGCTCGAACACGGAAAGAGCCCCACAGGTTAATTATTTTGATAACGTAGGTGTCTGGGATGACTGATGAGTGAACTTTCCCCTATGAGAGAGTGTGAGCTTTACTTTAAAAAAATATATTTTTTAATTTTTAGGGCTTGAGATTTGGTGAGAAATAAAATTATAGTATAACTTAGAGAGTGTTTATTTATTACTGCATTTAATAAAAATATGTAAACGAAATTTCACAAGAAAATGTACTCGTTCTTGCTGTTACAGTATATGATCATAAAATCTTCAATATGTTCAAGTGTAATGTTATGCCTTCTATCAGTTAATATGTGTTTATATGAGGAAAACGATCTTTCAACATCACAGGATGTAATTGGCGCAAATCTTTTTTTATTTTCCAATTGTCCCTGAAAGGTTTCTTATTTTTTCTTTGACTGAATTAACAATGCAAATACTATCATTTAAAGATAATTTTTGACTCTCTAGTTTTGTAATAGAATTTACAATTATGTCAAAATTTGCTTTTATATAGGACAGTTCATTCTGAACAGAATTTTCACTAAAAATATTTTGACATTTCTGAATAACAATACAACAAGAAGGATCAAAATTTGATATAACATTTTTGATATCAATATTCATATTCATATCATATATATATATATATATATATATATATATATATATATATATATATATATATATATATATATATATCATATTCATATCATTTTGATATATCAATATATCAATATTTGTAAGAAATATGGCACTATTCAACCACGTCCCCCATCTAGACAACACTGGTTCCGGTGGCAAAGGGATATCGAAAAGCATCTCCCTGTACACTTCTACTCGCAATGGTGCTTTAAAAATACTTTCTTTACATTGTTGATTAAAGTGTTTATATTTGGAAACTCGAGTCTACCTTTCTCTGCCACTCTGTTTAAACCATGCGCTAAGTATGCACAATGAATTAAATTCGGAAAAAAATCTTAAGACTACTAACAAGTTTAACCATGTAGAAGCAGCATCGCTAACTAGTAGCAAAATTTTTTTAGAAGGTACTTGATTCGGTAAAAAGAAATTTGTCAAACATTCATTAACAAATCAAGCAATTGTTGTATAGTTGGTTTTTTCTAAACAT